AGTATATGAGGGTCGGGTGTGTGTGTGTGTGCTCAAAGTCGTGCATGCCGTAGTCGTTAGACCATTGACCTCGCATCCCTACAAAGCCGGGACGGAGCACGCCGGGTTCTCACCGGACCAGGCTCTCACATCACCAAGCGCGAAGCGCCGTGAGATATTCGGCGAGTCGCATGAAGGGTGCGCTGCATCCTGCTAAGGGTGTTCGGCATCTTGTGCTTACTTCCTTGCGTACGGATGACAGCTGCGTATGAATTAATTTACTTTCTGGTGCTTTCACTTCCAGAGACAGTTGTAAGCACTGTGTAACTGCCTCGAGGGTGCTTGACCATTTTAACACAACGTGGTGCGATCATCCCCCTTGCGCGGAGTGAGGGTTCTCCACCCCGCACAAGATGATCTACGCGACCACCATTATGGTTACCGCCCCCAAAAAAAACGAGTTAAAAAAAAACGGTAACCTGGTTGCCGACCTCAACGAAGTGCATTGGCTTGTTTTACAACGTCGTTGCCAAGCGACGAAAACCCAATCCCGATGGCAAACACCGATGGGGGGACTTTGTTTTACAACATCGTTGCCAAGCGACGAAAACCCAATCCCGATGGCAAACACCGATGGGGGGACTTTGTTTTACAACATCGTTGCCAAGCGACGAAAACCCAATCCCGATGGCAAACACCGATGGGGGGACTTTGTTTTACAACATCGTTGCCAAGCGACGAAAACCCAACCCCGATTGTTGGTGTTGTTGTTGGCTTCACACTAACAACCGTTCCGATCTCTCTCTACCCAGTACCTTCGTATGTCCGTACTGATCCAACACTCGACGCGGTCGATTCCCGTGGCCGCAGGCTAACTTACCCTAAAAACTGTCTCTTATACACATCTAGATGTGTATAAGAGACAGCNCGTTGCCAAGCGACGAAAACCCAACCCCGATTGTTGGTGTTGTTGTTGGCTTCACACTAACAACCGTTCCGATCTCTCTCTACCCAGTACCTTCGTATGTCCGTACTGATCCAACACTCGACGCGGTCGATTCCCGTGGCCGCAGGCTAACTTACCCTAAAAAGGTACCCGATGGAAAACACCGGGAGGGTCGGGGGGGGAGGCGTCAGGCTAATCTAATGGATAGTCAAAATTACCAGCAGTACTGTACGCACGCACCCAAATATTTGCAGTCAATATCGTGCGCGCCAAGCAACGGGGGTGGACGGGGGGGGGGGACACGCGGTGGCTCTTTTTCATTTACTTTCGTGCGGCGAGGGCTTTCAACCCACGTAGTCTACCGTCATTTTGGCGGTAGGTTGACGAGGCAACCGGGAGAGCAAAAGCAGGGTGCTGTGTGCTTAGTCTAGTGTAGATTAGTCTAGTCTAGTTTTTTTCATGTGTTGGCACATGCATCTACTTAACATCGCCCGAGACTAAGTTACACGTTCGTCGCCGTAGGTTCCCTCGAACTACCAGCTGAAGACGATGCGATGCAGCTATGAAAATATTGAATTCTAGACTACCATAGTCTGCAGCAGTACATTATCTGGAACCAGTTTTGTACTCTACTTAGACCAGAGCCAGCGGCAATTTCGGCATTTTTGAGCAGGAATACAGGAGCACGGCCTCTGTAGTCTAGACTAGACTACACTACAGCAGTACATGAGGCGGCCAAAATTACGCCGCAAGGGGGCAGAACTCTGCCCGACATTTTCGTGTGGCATGTTTCGTGGTCTTTGCGCAGCAGTCACCGGCGCAGTTTCTACTGCTGCCACACATCTACTACTGCTGTAGTCTACACTAGACTAATCTGCGAGCGAATCTTCACCACCTGCCTTGTCCGTGTTGTGCACGTGGTTGGCTTCCGTTTTGACCTCGTCGAGGAGAGCTGCCCATCTCTCGTAGAACTGCACCATGCGAGGCTCCTCGTCTTCGGTGATACTGTTTGCCTCATAGATGCGGGTCAAGCGCTCCGCCACCCGTGGGTGCCTACGAAGGAAGCCCGCAAGCCAATCTTTCCCCGGACCCCTATCTGGATCCCAAGGGATCCGCCGACCGTCGTTGCAGAGTCGTCGCACCGCNACTGTTTGCCTCATAGATGCGGGTCAAGCGCTCCGCCACCCGTGGGTGCCTACGAAGGAAGCCCGCAAGCCAATCTTTCCCCGGACCCCTATCTGGATCCCAAGGGATCCGCCGACCGTCGTTGCAGAGTCGTCGCACCGCATCTTTGAGGTGAACCGGATCCGCAGCCAAGAAGTTGCGAGCAGCAAACAGCAGAATATCTTCCAGCGAATCCTCCTCTTCATTGCTCAGGATGGTCTCGGGACCAACCTTTGCGTTCATGGCCACCTTGCCACGGCGGCGGTCTTCGATGGACATATGACCAACCCCGAAGAAAGACCTCAGCAGCCCTAACCGACATGCCATCATCTATCGCTACACAGGCCTTCCGAACCTGCTCCTCGTCCACCTTGCGCCGGTTCATGCTTAGCAAGAATCCCAAGGAAACGACGAAGGTGACTAGCAGCGGGAGCTGTGGTGGCTCCCTCGGCTGTATCTCGGGGTGTAATGCTTGGCGTGCGACGCTGCGGTGCTCAAACGAGAGCTGGTTCAAAAAAAAGATCAAGAGGCTCCGTGAATTCGGAAGTGAGATACCCCGGTTTAAAAAAAATGGCCTTTACCCGGTGTAGGGGATATGTCGCGCGGTGCAATCTGGGAGACCCGTGAAGACGAACTCACTTGTTATTAACTCGTGTGGAACAGCAGTAGCTGTTGCCAAGGGAAGGTAGAGGACTGACTAGGATGGGGCCAGGATCAGCTGCTTAAGCAGGGGCTACTAGATCCTGTCCCCTGTTTTGTCCTTCCGTGGGGAGTTGCATCTCCGGCACTGTTCTCTGGGCATTAGCCCTCACTACCGTTTGTACTTTCCTAAACATTCAAGTCCCATAACACTAGCCCACCCTGGAGGTTCTCATACGCAGATACTAAATCTCGGAACTTGACAATTACTTGTCAAATCCCAAATGAAAGTATCGAGGATGCGGAGCTCCAAAATACCACAATTTACCCTCCCACACCTCTCACTCGATGGGTTGCAAGACCATCGTTTGACCTAGAATAAGAAGGTACAGAAAGTAAATAAACTGGGGCTAACAGAGAGAGAGGAAACCAACAGGAGAGCCGCAACAGGCGAAGGCTACAAATACCATAACAGGTCAGAACCCAAAAGAAAGGGGACAAGAGGACATGAAAGAAACGAACAAAATAAGCGTCGCCGGAGCGACGAAAAAGGAACGAACGGTGAAAGACAAGGCCTTTATCGACAAAACGATAAGATATTACGCCAAACAATCACCACGGTAGGGTGGGATCGACAACAAAGGCCACGAAACACCTTTAGCCCGCAAGCTCTAAGAAGTAGAGGCAAAAGTATACGAAAAAGTGCAAGAGCATCACAAAGTACCAAAAGGCTGGAAACCAAACGTTTCGGAAGGGAAACCAAGACGAAGCGGGGTCGTGAAATTAAACAACAGCTGGCAAAACCTCGGCAGGGAACAGAGAAAGCTCGACCTGGCGGACTATTGAAGGCAAAAGAAAGAAAGCGAGAAAACGAAAACAAATAGTCTAATGCTATTGCAAGAGCAACAGAAGGCAAAAACAACCAAGCATGCCATTTGAATGTGCGCGCGACGTCATCAGACAACGAAGCGGTCACGTCGCCACGCGACATGTCGATGTTGCGAAGAACACCCTTGAATAGAGTGCTGCCGCTGTGTACTTGGAGGCACCAGGATCCGGAGACGGCGGTTTCGANGCAAAAGAAAGAAAGCGAGAAAACGAAAACAAATAGTCTAATGCTATTGCAAGAGCAACAGAAGGCAAAAACAACCAAGCATGCCATTTGAATGTGCGCGCGACGTCATCAGACAACGAAGCGGTCACGTCGCCACGCGACATGTCGATGTTGCGAAGAACACCCTTGAATAGAGTGCTGCCGCTGTGTACTTGGAGGCACCAGGATCCGGAGACGGCGGTTTCGACGGTAGAGTAGCGAACATGGGAAGGGCGAGCTTGACAGGTCCAGGATCGTCCAAGAAGCGGACGACGTAGTAGTCGGACGGCAGAGCTCAGAGGTGGTCCAGAAATCTTGCCCAACCACTATAGAGTCCATCTTGTGTCTTGTACCAGAAGAAGGCGCCCACCGGTAGAGGGATGCTGGCGAAGCGACGGTCCCATGTTGAACGGGAAACAAGCGAGTAGCCCGAAGGCAAAAATCGCGTACCTTGAGCACGCGCCAATTCCCTGGTAGCGGCTCCAATGCGCATCGCACGATAACGGCGATTTGTTTGGCGATGTTGGTTAGGCGAACCTGCCCAGTAACGGAGAATATGCGGCTTGGAATGCTGCAGGTCCATCTCACGCTCCCAAGAAGGGCGCAGAAGGCCCTGCCAGTGTGTCTGATATAAGCTATCGTGCCCCCACGGCCACGGACGGGCTGGTGGCCACTAGTGCGTTCAACCTCTAAACGTTCGACCAGAGTTGACACGTCGTCTTCCGTAACATGGTAGGGAGGATACTTGTTTGCATAAGAGTTCAGGACATACGGAGTAAGACCAGCGGGCAGAAATCGCGGTAGGTCATCGGTGTCATGCGGGTTGGCGCAAGGCTTGCAACGCACNACGGAGAATATGCGGCTTGGAATGCTGCAGGTCCATCTCACGCTCCCAAGAAGGGCGCAGAAGGCCCTGCCAGTGTGTCTGATATAAGCTATCGTGCCCCCACGGCCACGGACGGGCTGGTGGCCACTAGTGCGTTCAACCTCTAAACGTTCGACCAGAGTTGACACGTCGTCTTCCGTAACATGGTAGGGAGGATACTTGTTTGCATAAGAGTTCAGGACATACGGAGTAAGACCAGCGGGCAGAAATCGCGGTAGGTCATCGGTGTCATGCGGGTTGGCGCAAGGCTTGCAACGCACAACCGAAACACGAGGTTTCGAGTCTTGGCCCGGCAGGTTTGAAGGAAGATCCAAGTGAAGCAACTTGGAATCCAAAGGACGACCGTCAGGGCTGTCAGAAAATGGACCCATAGCCAAGGTTTTGAAGGGGCCAGTCCAGAGTAGAGATGACTTGGCTTTGAGAACCTTATCATCTGTGCCTGAACGAACGCCTTGTCGAATAGTAGATTCGGAGTTATACACCCAAATCTATCCACCAACAGTGTAAGAAGGAAGCTTATGGAAAGCGTCCGATAGGGTGGAATTGCGCCGCTCTATCCCCGAAACGGACAGGTTATGCTGTTCACGCACCAAGTCGTAAGAACGACGTTGGCGATCAGCAGCAAGATCGCAGTATTCGAGTTGATCACGATGCAAGCTTTGGTGGCCNGAACGAACGCCTTGTCGAATAGTAGATTCGGAGTTATACACCCAAATCTATCCACCAACAGTGTAAGAAGGAAGCTTATGGAAAGCGTCCGATAGGGTGGAATTGCGCCGCTCTATCCCCGAAACGGACAGGTTATGCTGTTCACGCACCAAGTCGTAAGAACGACGTTGGCGATCAGCAGCAAGATCGCAGTATTCGAGTTGATCACGATGCAAGCTTTGGTGGCCACGAGCGTAAGGACGCTCAAGAACAGTCATCGGTAGACGAGGCAATCGATTCATATGCACCTCATTGGGCGCTAAACCGGTAGCGTCGCTAATGGAATTGTTGTAAGCAAACGCGACGTGTGGGAGATGAATGTCCCAATCATCTTGTCGTTCGTTGACAACCATAGCCAACATTTGAGCCATAGTGTGGTTGACGCGCTCCACACCCCCATTTCCATTGGGATGGTACGAGTTAATAGCCACTTTGCGGATAGCAAGACGGGCATACACGGCTTGGGACAGTTTAGAGCAAAACTGAGAGCCGTTGTCAGACAAGAGACTCAACGGGCAACCCAACAAAGGGATATACCTGTTGACAAGGATGTCAGCTGTGCCTTCGGCGGTGAATTCTGCAGCCGTAACCCCGGACATATCAGCACGGCGGCTGAAACGGTCTGTAAAGCGCAGAATGTGTGTGTTGCCACGCGGTGTCAACGGAAGTGGACCAAAATAGTCAACACTCACCGACACACCAGGGCCCGAAGGCAAAGGAAGGGACATGGTAGGCCACCGAGGAGTCTGACGAGACGATTTACGGGCTTGGCATCGCAAACAATGCCGCACCCACCATTTCGTACAAACGCTCATGCCAATCCACCAATAGAAACGTTCCAGCATGCTAAGCGTGCGAGCCGCACCGAGGTGACAGGACGCATCAGCGTGGCAGAATTGCATGATCCACGGACGCATGAGCATGGGAACATAAATCCGAATGGGTTCATCGTTGAGAAGGCGAGCAGGACGTCCGCCAGGACGTGCAGTCGTGGACGACGGGGTCGTTGTTTGCTTGCGAACAAGCAAGACCAAACCATCATCGTCAACATGCAACCGGCCTTTGTTAGACAGGTCACGAATCTCCGAAAGAGAGGGTCGACGAGCGGACGGAACCTGGTCCAAGAAATCCAAAGGGAGGGCCGAAGGCCGACCCAGAAGGATGAAACGAATGGCTGTATCACACACAGGTTCGTTACGTTGCTCGCGAGCCCAATCAGCATGCGAGANCTGGTCCAAGAAATCCAAAGGGAGGGCCGAAGGCCGACCCAGAAGGATGAAACGAATGGCTGTATCACACACAGGTTCGTTACGTTGCTCGCGAGCCCAATCAGCATGCGAGAAACGTTCGACGGACGCCCGGAAGGCTAAATCCGCCGAAGAATGTAAAGCCGCCTCGATAGAAGAGGGGGCTGATTCGCGAGGCGCCGACTGCAACCCATCCGAGGATAGAGGAGCAATGGAGGCCGAAGGCGAATGCGCGCGAGCGGTTGACACCAAACGTGACAAAGACTCCGAAGAGCCGGGGTCTGCAGGAGGCTGCAAAGCAGGAGCAACCGCAGTTGTGGTAGGCGTCGGAGACGCAGGCTCCACTCCATGAGCCAGAGGCTCGGAGGAAGTCGAGGATAACCACCAGCACCAGTAGTCGAAACCCAACTGGGCAAGGCTGGTGTCATCGACGGCGCCTTCGTCGCCGTCGGAGACCGCCGAAACGGTCGAGAGGGAGCGGAAATCCGCGTGGGAGACAAAGAAGGCTCATCGTCAGGAAAACCATAATCAACAGGCGGGAGTGGCGTGCCTGCCACAGCTGCCTTGCGACGGCGAGTCCTGGTGGAGATCACTTGGGTGGGGTCGAGGATCCGACGCGGGTTTCCAAGGGCGGGAACGGCAGACGGAGGCTCGGGCTCGAGAGCCAAAACATCATCGAAAGACTGAGGTAGGGAACCGGACCAAATGATGGGAGGTCGATTGCGCAATCGCGACCACGCCGAACGGCAGAACATCTCAGACGGCAAGGGAGCGATCTTGGGCGACAAGGAAGCGACGTTCCAAATGCCCGATGAAGACGAGAGGCCGGATGCCGGTAGACGCGGACGGTGCCGACGGAAATCAGCGAAGTCAGCCGTACAGGGGGCAAGCCTACCCAAGACCGTAGTCGGGGGATTAGGAACTAGCCCACCCAAGCCAATACCCGCGGCCCATCACCGGAAGGGGTAAGGCCACACGAACGGATGAAAAACACCGCCTCTTCATCCTCAGCCGGGGTCAGACGACTGCGACCCGAGCGGTCGCATTCAGCCGCAACGACTGGGAGGCGTGAGAGGAAATCAGCGTTGCCATTTGCGGAACCCTTGCGATACTCGAGAGTGTAGTTGTAGGCGGTAAGAAATTCCAGCCNGCGGTCGCATTCAGCCGCAACGACTGGGAGGCGTGAGAGGAAATCAGCGTTGCCATTTGCGGAACCCTTGCGATACTCGAGAGTGTAGTTGTAGGCGGTAAGAAATTCCAGCCAGCGCTGAACGCGGGCATTGTTCTCCCCCACCTAGCAAAAATTCTCGAGAGATTTGTGGTCGGTAAAAATGCAAAATTTTGTACACCACAGATAGCCGCGAAGGCGCTTGATACACCACACGATGCTACCCACCTCGAGATCGAGGGGAGTCCAGTGGCGTTCTGAGTCCAAAGTAGCCCGACTGATGAAGACAATTGGGCGAATGGAACCATCTGGCTGTTCTTGTTCGAGAGTCCCACCAAACCCATCGCGACTAGCATCACAGTAAAGATGAAAAGGTCGCGAGCCGTCTGAAACAGCATCCCAATCTGGATAAACCAAAACAGGGGGATTGACCAACTCAGCTAACAAAACGCAAACGGCATGCTCCATGGAAGGGGTGAAGATAACTTCTCCTCCTTCTTGAGTAGAGTAATCAGAGGTCGAATGCGTTTAGCCATGTTGGGGAGGAACTTACGGTAGTAGCTGAGACCACCGAGAAGGGAACGCAGTTGCTTGACATCCCTGGGCATAGGCATTTTGGTGAGGGCCGAAACCTTGGCACCGTTAGGCCTAACGCCGTCAGGGGAGATGGTGTGTCTGAGGAAGTCTGCTTCAGTAGCGCCAATGGTAGCTTTCGGAGGGGTGAGTTTCAAGTTGTGCGTACGCAAGCGTTCAAAGAGTGCGCGCATGCTACCAACATGAGTAGCAGGGGTCTCATCAAAGACGATCAAATCATCCGAGTCCGATGCAACACCGTGGAGATTTTTGATGACTTCGTTGACAACTTTGCAAAACCAACCAGGGGCAGCCGAACTGCCTTGAGGCATCTTCAACCACTCGAAAAGCCCGGAAGACGTCACGAATGCCGTCAAAGGGATTGTATCGCGGTGCACCGTGATTTGGTGGAATGAAGATTTCATGTCGAAAAGGGAATAAATTCGCCCTTTCAACAACTTGTCCAATGTATAATCGACTCGAGGAATCGGAAGCTGAATCAAAGCACAAAGCTGGTTGAGCTTGCGATAATTGACGGTGATGCGAACACTACCAGATTTCTTCGGCATGACTACTAAAGGGCTCGAGTAAGGCGAGGTCGAATGTTGGATCAAACCTACCGCAAGATACTGGTCAAGGATCGCGTCAACTTGTTTCGCCACCGGGGGATTAGCGCGGTAGGGGCGAGACGCGACGGGTGCGCTGCCAGGAGGAACTGTAAGCTTAAAAAGGAAAAAGCGAACAAGATCCAAAGTCGGTCGGAGAACTCGAAAGCACATCATGGTATTTGCACAACACGTTACCAAGCTGAGTAAGGACATCGGGAGTCCAACCCGGGCCGTGGAGATCAAAAGAAATCTCACGGAGATGGCAGGGGAGCTTATCCCAGACTTGGGAGAAACTTTGACGCTGTTCTGGCGTCAACCGCTCGAGAAGAGCACGCGGAGGCGACGAAGAGGAAGCACTGACGGAACCAAAGTCCCCTCGGTCGCTTGGCGACGGGATGGGTCGCTCGTGTAAATTATACACAAAGGGGTCAGAGACGGAGTGCGTGGCAGACGAATCAATGCCACCCGCAGAAACAGGACCAGGGACCCAGCTGTCTGATGCAGCGGTGGATTCTGAAGCCGCAGTTTCGAGACCATCGCTCAAACTGTGGCGAGAAACAGCGCTAAGAGGCATGCGAAGAAGGAGGGCCGAAGCTGTACCCAGGACGTCGCCGTGTTTGAGAGACGAGATGCCCGCAAGAGGGATTCGTTGGCAACCATTTTGCACAAAATATTCCTCGGAAGAAAACATAGCACATTAGGGGAGTATATCCATCAAATAGTTACCCACAAGGGCAGGCGAACCATCATTGCGTACCAAATTGACCTGATTGAGGCTATGCTCTGGGTAAAGTTGAACGGAATGTTTGCCTGCATAGCGAAGTTGTTTACTTCCATCCGTTGCGGACAGATGGTGAGCAAATGCAGTGGCACCACAAGTGTCATGTTGGGCTCAAGTAAGCTCACCAAAGACACGGTCACCAGGACGTGTCGCACGCAAAGTGCGGTAAGAACGGTCACTAAACCGCATCCAACTATCTCTGCCGAGGAGCACGTCATGGTGCATGCGCCGTCAGGAACAACGTATCCTCAAACAGCAAGAGAGGAAGCAGGAAGGTTCTTACGGAGAAACTGAACACTCAAACGGACAATGGTCGAAGTTTGGAGCGGGGCAGATTTCCCAAAACCACCTCAACAGCGAGGTTGGGTGTGTTTTTCAGATAACATCGAAGCAGCCGAAGCCGCTTTCATGGATTCCCATGCAGAAGCACTAAAAAAAGACTGCGGAGAACCCGTATCCAAAAGAGCGATACACCCAAACTGCACAGAGGCCGAACCGCTGTGGAGGAGGATTCTGGTGGTGAAAGAGTCGTCATCGATGGTGACAACACTACCAACCAAATCCGGACCTTGCTCTGGGAGCGAGGAGGAGGACGACGGGATGTATTCTGGAGACGCGGCCCAAACGGCGGTGTCGTGATCCGACGGGATATTCGGAGCGTATTGCGAAAATGACGCGAACCGGTCGGTCGATGGAGGGCACGAAGCCGTCCGAAGGCGCTAGTGTGTGGAAGGGTTAACTTCATACACCGCAGAATGAAGGGACGTCGGAACGTGGTCGGTCGGAGGCAGCAAACGAACGCTGCGCTCGGGAGGCGGGGCACGGTGTCTTAAAAGACTGCGTGCGTTCTGTAGGGCGGTGCCTAACAGGTTGAGGCCGCGCCATCTAGATGTGCATCCAGTGTCAGGATGATCGGCCTGGAGGCCAATGCCCCAAACACGGTCGTAAGGACTGGCTTCGGCAAGGATTTTGTCACCAGATCCGAGGAGATGATTTCGTAACTCGGAATTTTGACTAAATTTTGCGTAAGAGCCGGTGAGCACAATGTTTTCGCGTTCTTGTTCCCAAAGAGATTGGTAGAAACCACGGACCTCACGGCCAAACTTTGGTGTAAGGCCGGGTCTGACACTCGCATGATGTTCTGCAAGCACAGCGATCTCCGAAAAGACGGGCTTTTCCTGCAGCGAAAAATTGTTCGGCACACGAGTAAACAACGCCATCGACCGTGAAGGTCGACGGTGTCCATTGGGAAAAAGGCGAGGGCGGCTTCCAAAAGAAAACCATGCCTGGACTACAATACTCGGTAGACGGGTCCAAAACGGCCGAAGCAACAGAGGCCGGAGCGCCCTGAGTGCTGTTACTGGAGTCGCAGCCGAAGATGCGGAGTCATGATGGACAGTATGCACATCCAATGGGGTGGTCCTTGTTACAGCGGGAACCGGCGAAGAATCGACTTGAGTCGGATTGTTCGTAATTGGGCCAGCAACACTGGGCTGGGTGCAACCCAATTTTAAACCTGAAGAAACGCCTCGTAAGGTGTTCGGCAACAGGTCGCTTTCGCTGGGAACGGCTGCCAAAGCCGGTTTAGTCGAACAACTGAACCGAGCATGGCGCTCCTGGCTATTCCCTCGTGGCAAGGTACGCGAGACCGCCGGCTGTTCGGAGGTCACTTCGGGGGAGGGCAATTCTTCATCAATCGTCCAAAGGTCATGGCTACTGCCGATCCTAGCTGCACACGACGGGGGGAGCCAACGAGAGGTGCTCGACGAACGAGTAGAACTCTTTGGCCCCGAAGGTCCAACGGGTCTGTTCCCACACCTCAAGACAGCACTCACGTCAGACTGATTAGTTTCCGACGAAGCAGCAATCCGACGAGGCGAGGGTGCAGAGGTTGCAGACGATAAGTGCGATGGCGAAGGTGGGATGTGAGCATTTGGTTGAAGACCGACCTGATCGACACTTGAAGAAACAGCGTGTACCTGAGTACCGCTGTCATTGGATAGCACCGAAGTGCGAGAGCGCGTAGGGAGAACACTTACCGAAGTATTGTTGTGGTTGCTTAGGACCGAAGTGCTAGAGGCAACAGAGCGCGTAGGGAGAACATTTACCGAAGTATTGTCGTCGTTGCTTGAGACCGGAGTGCTAGAGGCAACAGAGCGCGTAGGGAAAACATGTACCGAAGTATTGTTGTCGTTGCCTAAACCCGGAGTGCTAGAGGCAACAGAGCGCGTAGTGAGAACATGTACCGAAGTACTGTTATCGGTGCCTAAGACTGGAGTGCTAGAGGCAACAGAGCGCGTAGAGGGAACATGTACCGAAGTATTGTTGTCGTTGCTTAAGACCGGAGTGCTAGAGGCAACTGAAGGTGATACACGCGCGTCTTGATTTGAGCGAGACGAAGTTCCCAAAGACGCTGGAGGCGTCCGAGGGAAGGAGGCGAACCACCGTCGGGGAGTCATCCGGTACGTGAACGGCCGCCATTGTGGAAGTTACCAGGCTGGTGTGCGTTGTGATTGGTCGAAACCATGACGCCGGACGACGGACCAGTTTGAGCATGCGATTGGGGTTGATAGACGGACAGAGCACCAGGGTGGTGGGTGTTGCCAGATGTCTGTTGTGTATGATGATTGTTACCCGCGGAATGTCCCAAGGTTTGACCACCGTGGTGTGATTGTTGGTGATTGTGAGAGGAACGACCACCGTCGGAACGGCGAGGCCCAGCGTGGGTTCTACGCTGAGAAGCGGAGGAAGAAGACTGCCGATGGCGTCTACCCTGATTGTTGTTCCGTCCATCTGAACCCTTACGCCTGAAGGATCGCATGCGACCTTGCCAACACCTAAAAGCAGCAGAGTCGTCATTGAGGTGACCCAACTCGGGATTCAACAACCCACTAGAATTCGTGAAGGGAGAAGCACATTTCTTCATGGAATGGTCATCACCCGAGCAGTTCAGACAGCGGTTTCTGTTTTCGCGGAAGGCTTGCGATCGAGCCTCTTGTGTCAACAAAGGAATTCATAAAAAACGATCATCGGTGTCACGAAGATTAGCGGTGAGGGCGTACACATCAGACCAGTCGGCTTGCGAAGCAGGCCACGAGTTGTAGTTGTGCGTGAAAGGATCCGTGGCTTGAGGTTGCACGGGCAAAACTACAGGGTTCTGTGCGGAGCCGGATGCCCACTGGCCCGAACACGCAGGAGCGCGGTGGTTTGACCGCCGAGGCTGCAGAGAGCCACGGGTCGAAGTCACATAATATAAGATGAACCACCGATAGCCGGGGTTTTATTAGTCGCCAAAGGCGCGAACGCCTCCCACATAACCGCAAACGACTCAAAGGGAGTGACCGCAGTGGCCAAAACACCCGGGTCCAAAAGTGGAGACAGACTCGGAAATTGCTTGTCCACCGAGTTTCGCACTATTTCAAGAACCATGGATACACTAGGGGCCAAAGTACGCTCAGAGCCAGTCACAGACGTACTAACAGANGGGCAAAACTACAGGGTTCTGTGCGGAGCCGGATGCCCACTGGCCCGAACACGCAGGAGCGCGGTGGTTTGACCGCCGAGGCTGCAGAGAGCCACGGGTCGAAGTCACATAATATAAGATGAACCACCGATAGCCGGGGTTTTATTAGTCGCCAAAGGCGCGAACGCCTCCCACATAACCGCAAACGACTCAAAGGGAGTGACCGCAGTGGCCAAAACACCCGGGTCCAAAAGTGGAGACAGACTCGGAAATTGCTTGTCCACCGAGTTTCGCACTATTTCAAGAACCATGGATACACTAGGGGCCAAAGTACGCTCAGAGCCAGTCACAGACGTACTAACAGACGGAAAGCCCGAAGATAATCCGCGAAAGGAGTACCATCTGCTACGCCAAATTGTTGCAGCCGCGAAGACGACTCTTGGCGGTCGCCGACGTCAAATTGCTCCGCCAGGTGACGCAACAATAGCTGGAAAGCGTCTCGTCCAGAGGCTCCTCCATCCAAGCTCCGTTTCACGTGCTGAAAGAAATAAGTAACGGCAAGGACGAGATCGGCGGTAGAGGGCTTGTCGGGGGTGATCGCACTCAAGAGTTTTTTTCGAGAGGACGTTCCCATCCACGCACAAAATTGGCGCCTGTCAAACCTTCACTCTGCTCATCACACAACAGCAAAATATCGGACGAAGCCGTTCTTGTTGTGCGAATAAGCTGCTGATAGCCATCTCCCGGCAACAGAGTAGCGGGGAAGGGCATGGTAGCGACATTCTCAACTTTTTCAAGTTGAGGATGATGTACGCTCGTTGAACGGTAGCTACATGAGCATTACGAGCAGCTGCATCAGTCGCATCGATCGATGCTTGACGAGTGTGTGCTGTGTTAGAAGAAGGTGGCAAGGCACGATCATCGGAGACAGCGGGGGGTGCGGCGACGGCTACCGAAGCAGCTGTAGGGGCATGGTCTGAAGACAACATGCTACGCAAAACACCAGGCACTGGTGGATCAAACGCCGAAGGGGGGCTGAGGTTCGAAAACCCAGAGTTCTGCATTATTCGTGGATCTACGGCATGGCGAGCGGTAGAAAGGCTACGGGGTGCAGAGGTTTCCAAAGAAACAGGGGTGGTCGAAACCGGTGGTGAGTTCGAATACTCAACGCGACGTACATGTCCGGAGTCTACAGCATTGAACGCGGCAGAACGGACAGCAGGTGCAAGTGATTCCGAAGAGACAGGGGAGCCTAAAGGCGGGTGAAGGTCCGAAAACGCAACACGGCGCAAACGCCCTGAGTCCGAGGAAAGAGGGGGGGCCGAAACCGTACCAACAACCGAAGTCAAGGGGGGGGGGCGAAGCCTGTGAAAAAACATCATGTAAAAGAAAACGATCACTCAAAGTAGCATCCATAAGGGACGAGACGACTTGCCTGGAAGAAGGACCCTTCCGAGCACCGTGCTTCCGGGTGAGACTCCTGTCTGAACCAGAGCCCGATCCGCCTCCCTTGCCACGAGTCCCGCTCGTGTGGCGCTTGGCCTGCTGCCGTGCCCGGCCATCGCCCGCGAACGAAGATGGCTCCGGGGGGCGGCGAGACACTTCCGCGGAACTCCAGCCCGAGTCCTCGCCCGAGCTACTCTCTCGCACGATGGACTGGAGCGGCTTGGCCTTGACGCGGCCGGCCTTGGGCTGCTGGAACGCCGAAGATGCCGGAATCGCCACGGCGCAGGGGGGGCCACACCACCGGAGACGATGCGTTCATGGTGGCCGCCCGCATTGCCACGAGGAGGCAGCTCACCACATCGTGGAGGTCGGGCCGAGACCCGTTGGCCGCATCGCGGCGTCCTGTATTGAGGCAGCCAACGGCAGGGCGGTGGACACGCCAGCCGCCAAGTCCATGACAGCCTTGCGATCCTCGACCTGGTAGCTGACCTGGGCGTATTTTACAACGTCCGACAACCTGGCTTGGGCAAACCTGGTGTCCCCGGCCTCGAAGGTGACGAAGCGCGACCGTGATAAAGACCGCGTCACAGGGCTGGAGGCGGCAGCAGCGTACGTCCGAGCCTTTGGCGCCGACGGGGCAGGAGCAGCAGCAGGGGCCGGTCCCGGCACGGAGCGCCCCGCCCGGACCCGAAGATCGTGTTCGCGCTGTTGGTCAGCGCGAGCCTGTTCAGCGACCAAGGCATCCTCTTNGGCCTTGGGCTGCTGGAACGCCGAAGATGCCGGAATCGCCACGGCGCAGGGGGGGCCACACCACCGGAGACGATGCGTTCATGGTGGCCGCCCGCATTGCCACGAGGAGGCAGCTCACCACATCGTGGAGGTCGGGCCGAGACCCGTTGGCCGCATCGCGGCGTCCTGTATTGAGGCAGCCAACGGCAGGGCGGTGGACACGCCAGCCGCCAAGTCCATGACAGCCTTGCGATCCTCGACCTGGTAGCTGACCTGGGCGTATTTTACAACGTCCGACAACCTGGCTTGGGCAAACCTGGTGTCCCCGGCCTCGAAGGTGACGAAGCGCGACCGTGATAAAGACCGCGTCACAGGGCTGGAGGCGGCAGCAGCGTACGTCCGAGCCTTTGGCGCCGACGGGGCAGGAGCAGCAGCAGGGGCCGGTCCCGGCACGGAGCGCCCCGCCCGGACCCGAAGATCGTGTTCGCGCTGTTGGTCAGCGCGAGCCTGTTCAGCGACCAAGGCATGCTGGTGGCGGCGATCCTCGACGAGCTGGGCTGCCAGCAGGGCCTCCTCTCGTTCTTGCGCTTGCTTAAGGTGGGCGTACTCGAGGATGGCGTCGGCGTTGGTGGCCCGGCGCGCACGGTACATTGCGATTTGTGCGTGTCGTGCCGCGGTCGCCTTGGTGAACTCGGCGTCAAGCCGAGCGTTGCCGTCCCGAAGAACCGCTTCGCGGTCGAGGCCTGGCGAACCCGGGGGGACAGGGCCAACAGCCGCTGGTCGTCGGTCATGCAGTCCCACAGGGTTGATTGAACAAACCCAACGAGGGCGCTGCGGGGGTGCCGACGAGGTTGGGGGTGCCGCCGAAGCTGCGGGTGCCGCCGAAGCGGCGGGGGCTGCCGAAACAGCGGGGGCTGCCGAAGCAGGGGGGGCTGCCGGAGCAGCGGGGGCCACCGAAGCAGAGGGGGCCGCCGAAGCAGCTCGGGCCGTCGAAGCTGTGGGAAGCGGGACTAGGGGGACCGACGACACCGGGCGGGGGGTAGTCGAAGACCTCTCGCCGGCGCCCGCGGTCGTTGCCCGGATCGCAGAGGCGGAGACGGCTCCACCAGCGAGGGAGGCCGCCTCAGGGTTGGCCACAAGCTGGGTGGCGACCATGGTAGATTGACGGGGAAGATCGCGGACACGACGGTGGTCGTTTTCTGCCATTCGAAGAAGGGGTACGGCAGGGGAAGTGGCGGCATGTTCGTGTGAGGGACAGAGCATGGGGGGGGGTGAAGGCACCGCATTATGCAAAATAACAGGTGCATCGGGAGAGGGTTCTGCAGTAGAGGAGCCGAGGCCGCAACTAGCGTATGAACAGCAGTAGACAGCAGACATAGAGTCGGCTGTGGGTACACGTGCAGCAGTGAGGGATGCAGTCCGAGACGAAACTACTGGCACGGTAACTGCTGGGTTAATGATGGTCGAAAGTGTACGCCGGACGCCCATACAGCGAACGCGTGGAATGGCCATCATTGGGGGCAAAGGCGGAGCTACAGGGATAGATGCAGCAGAGGCAGTCGAAACTGCAGGCATCGACGGAGCTACTGAAGCCAATGCATTTGAAACAGTCGAAACTGGGGCTGGCAGTGGGGAAGCTACGGGGGAAAGGTAGCGAAAGCGGGAGATGCTTAAGACCTATGGGGAGCTACTGCAGCAGATGGCGGGGCAGCAACCGAAATTGCAGTTGAAGTAGTCGGAACTATAGAAATAAGTGCATCACAATCAAGGGAAGTAGCCACGGCAGTCGAAACAACAGGAGCAGATGCAACGGGTGCGGTCGAAACCACTGAGACGGTTGCATTGGAAGCGGTCGGAACCGCAAAGGCAGTCGAAACCACCGGAACAGATGCACGTGGAGCAGTCAAATCCAGAGGCACAGATGCCACTGAAACGGATGCACGACGGTCAAGAAGCCCTTGTGCACGAGCGGCGGCTTGTGTGCGACTGCATCGCGACGATAAAGGAGGAATGGCCGGCACAGTGTAATCGAAATGCAGTGTGCTGCCAACAACAGAGCCATGAGGCAAGCGTGGCACTACAGAGCCAGTATTGTCAAAGCCAATGTCTGCCCGAACAGCAGAAGGGTCAGCGACAGTGGAGGTGAGGGGAAAAGTGGAATCAGCAACATGTGGTTCCGGCGGGAAAACTTGGGACACACCACCAGCGGCTGTAAAAATACAAGGCTGGGTACTCGAAAGGACAGAGGTGGACGCCGAAGCTTCTGTTGTGGGTGCTGGCAATTTGAGGACAGCACCCACGGCGGTAGCGTCAGTAGAAGCCGTGGAGGCGAACTCCTCCCGTCGGCGTTGATCGCGAAGCTCTGACAAACGGGTGGCTTCTACGATGGGGTCAGCAGCACTCGCGCCATCNGCCAGTATTGTCAAAGCCAATGTCTGCCCGAACAGCAGAAGGGTCAGCGACAGTGGAGGTGAGGGGAAAAGTGGAATCAGCAACATGTGGTTCCGGCGGGAAAACTTGGGACACACCACCAGCGGCTGTAAAAATACAAGGCTGGGTACTCGAAAGGACAGAGGTGGACGCCGAAGCTTCTGTTGTGGGTGCTGGCAATTTGAGGACAGCACCCACGGCGGTAGCGTCAGTAGAAGCCGTGGAGGCGAACTCCTCCCGTCGGCGTTGATCGCGAAGCTCTGACAAACGGGTGGCTTCTACGATGGGGTCAGCAGCACTCGCGCCATCCGAAGACGGCAACAACGACGATTGTTGTTGTTGTTGTTGTTGTTGTTTCTTCACATTAAACTCGTGTCAGTTGTTGATCCCAAAATCTAGCAAAGACTCGGTCCGTGGTCACAAAAATGCTGGAGCCATCAGAAGATGTAAAGAACACAAACACTATTAGCAAGAAAAGGGTACGCAAGCCCGAGATGGTACACCTGCAATCCCTGCAGCACGTTTGTATGCTCACAGCTGAACTACACGCCCACACACTACAATTCGACTACAGCAACAGCATCACCCCCCTTGTCCCGCACTTAACCAAAATGAATGTTTGTCGACTACAGCGTACTGCTGTCTGAAGCGCTGTCTGTACAATAATAACACCATGGTGCATGGTACACAAGCTTGGGGCATGCAGCTGCTGTCTGAAGTGCTGTCAGAATGAGTCCGTGGACATGCAATGAAGAACACCCAACCAAAGCCATCATTGCAATTGACAATCACCCGAATCTATCCAGATCATCTGTGTTAGGCACAGCAGTGTAAACATCGACACTGACTAGGAATCGTTCCATATGGGTCTTCCACGATGCAGGTACACAATTAAAAGCACCCGGGTTATCCGCGCCATCTCTGCCGCGTCTCTCAACAAAACCAGTGACGTCATCACACACACCCAACATCTATATTCAGGAAAAATAACGGAAAAATAGTTGACAACACAAGAGATGTTTGTCCGTGTGCCACGGTTCGATGCCGTCCGCCTGCTCCGGTTCCGCTGCTCCGGTGCCGCTGCTCCGTTGCCGCTGTGGCCAGTCCTAGCACGACCAAACTCGACCCGCTCCGCTTCGTACACGCTCTCGTTGCTGTCCATCCCAGTCGGTTCCTTGCTTTCTCCCTCGTTGCACTTAGGGTTCTTGGTCTAAAAATTCTCGCGCCGAAGGGTCAACCAGCCAGCCCAATCAGCTCGTCACCACCTGTACCCCCATCCTTTGATGGCAATACCAGGTTACTGAGACAGTACAGCTCCCTCTAGCAAACCTAGGGCCGTGTACATAATGCCCGTCCACCTTTCTGATGACGTCTGCCTCCACGCACAAGGATGAGATGGGCATTGCTGCCTACACCGACGGCCTGGAGGCCCGCGCATCTACACCTTTCTTGGTACCTGCCGCACCAGTGCCGGCCCAACTCCACCAATACTAGTCTTAGGCCCATTAGGCTAGCATTTCGTTTGGCATAATTGGCCATTTGGAGCATAAAAAAAGCATAATTGAAAAATAGCGATGCTCGAGCATATTTTGCTCAAAAAGGAGCATATTCGTCTGTGCGAGGAGCATACACGGCTCCTTTGCTGAGCATAGTGGCTGTGCGCTGGCATCTTAAGCGCGCCTGCCGCCTGATGCTCGATCGTTGGACATCTGATGTGAGTGTCACACTTGACATAAGTGCATACACATAAGACAGACATGAAGACGATCTTATAGGAGTACAACTAGCGCGCGCGCGCTCTCCGAAGACACGCACACAACAGTGGGCTCCACACGCACACACGCCCGCGCGCGGACTGCTGGGCATGGCACGCTCTAGCTCTTCAAGCTCCAGCTCTAGCTCCAGCTCCAGCTCCAGCTCCAGCTCCAGCTCCTCCAGCTCTAGCTCTAGCTCTAACTCAAGCTCAAGCTCAAGCTCAAGTTCCAGCTCGGACTCCGAGGTGGAGGTCGTGCGGCCTTCGAATCCGGATCAGCAGCAGCGCGGATCGACTGATACGAGGAGGAATCCACCGAAAGATCCCTCTTCCGGTGGCCTTGGTGCGGTTCAGCAAAGCATACTCAACTTTGTTCCTAACGCGCCCGTCCTAAGGGTGCCAGGCCCACCGAGGAGGCGCAACAACAAACGCCACAAGGTGGTGGAAGCAGCGGCAGCGACCCCAGCAGCACCCCGGCCAGCGGCCCACATCGCCAAGACCAGGGTAGTCAGAGTAAACAAAGATCGGAGAAAACCACGCGACGATGGTGAGGAGGGAGACGAGGAGGAGGAGGAGGAGGAGGAGGAGGAAGAGGAGAGAGACGCGGTGGGAGGCAAGCGCAAAAAGCTGCCGCAGTGGGAGGCTGTGGCAGAAAAAGATTGTTGTCAAACCTGTGGTGGGTGCCCACGAGAGGGTCAAGGACTTTCCGGGCCAGAGGCTGGAACTTCTGGGCGGCGGCCTCTACTGCCAGGCGTGCAAGGAGTCGCTCCAGATAAAGAAATCCACCGTCAAGAACCACTGTCTGTCCAAGGAGCACACCCTGGTAGTGAAGGACTTCGCGAGGAAGCAAGCGGAAAAACAGGTAATCTGGATTTTTTTTGATGCACACGATAACATGATACAGCAGCGGTACATATGACCCCGTTGTTTTTTCGAGAAATCCCGCGTGTTTTTTTCAAATATTCCAATATTTTCTACTGCTGTGTGGTGTGATTGCTTAGTACGGAGTAAAATCTATCAGGTCTTGTGATGGTGAGCTTTGTTGCTTGAAACATGATCAGTCAAGTGAAAAGCTATTTGTTGCACACATCTTTGCTTCATCGCACGTTTTCTCTTGGTGCTCTACAGACGTCTCTGGACATGTTCCAGGAACACTCTGAACTCGCCGGAGGCAGCTACGGCAATAGTCTTCACCCCAAGGAACTGATGACGCAGTTGATGGCAGTGGAGGCGTGCTTGTCTAGCGGGGTTGCTCTCNGTTTTTTTCAAATATTCCAATATTTTCTACTGCTGTGTGGTGTGATTGCTTAGTACGGAGTAAAATCTATCAGGTCTTGTGATGGTGAGCTTTGATGCTTGAAACATGATCAGTCAAGTGAAAAGCTATTTGTTGCACGCATCTTTGCTTCATCGCACGTTTTCTCTTCGTGCTCTACAGACGTCTCTGGACATGTTCCAGGAACACTCTGAACTCGCCGGAGGCAGCTACGGCAATAGTCTTCACCCCAAGGAACTGATGACGCAGTTGATGGCAGTGGAGGCGTGCTTGTCTAGCGGGGTTGCTCTCAACGCTCTCGACCAACCGCGAGGATCGGGGACCATCCGGGAGCTAAGGAACACGCGACCATCCGGCTTTTCGAGGGGGCGAGACTGCTGAACTTCACGTTCGTGAGGGGGCACCACCTGGAGGAGTCGGACGTACACATCCTAGCAGAAGTGCTTCCGTTCGTGACACCAACCGTGGTCGCCGCCCTCGTAGAAGAGATGGATGCGTACAACGTCGCGGCGGCTGAGACGGATGCCGGCTGCGATTTGTGGGCTTTCTGGCATGACAACAGGCTTAAACTATCTGCTTGGTACAACGTAGCCAAAGACGTAGCCTTGATCCAACCCTGTTCCGCTTTCATGGAACGGGTGTTTTCTGTCCTTCGTGCGTGCGTGGACGATAGGCAGGAGCATTGTCTCCTAGACCGGATTGAGGCGGCGGCCCTCCTTAAGTACAACAGGTCTCAGGAGTGCTAGAAGGTATTTTTCTGTTGCCCTTGCTGTTTGGTTTACAGTACAAGACCTTAAGACCTACAGCGGAAAAAGTGGTACGGTTAGCTTTTGCTTTCTGCCGTCTCATCTTGCTATCCTGCTGAGGAATTGCCGCTTCCGCTAGCTGTGGGTGCTCTGCATTGAGACTGGTGATGTTGAGCTCGTTGGCCGCAGATAATCAAGTACTCGTACTTCGTATATACTCCGTACTACTTCGAGTAGTACTCGTTTTGGGCACCAGTTTTCGAAGGAGTGTGACGACTATGATGAAGGTAAAGAGAGCCGAGAGTCTTCGAAAACACAAAACTGCTGACTGATAACACGTATGAAGTTGTTGAACTTAGGCGAAGCATTAACATTAACAGCACAAACACAAGCGTGATACGGTAGCACGGTAGCATAAGGAGGCATTTGAGGCATATTCCCGCCACCAAAACGGAGCATAGGTGGGGGCACATCGACACCAAAGGAGCATATTCGATGAGCATAATTGACTTTTGCAGAATACGCTTTCCAAAAAAAAGGAGCATAAAAAACGAAAAAAAGGAGCATAATGGGCCTAAGCCTAACCAATACGCACGCCTCGCGGCGGGTGCGCCGCAGCAAGAAGGTATCGGTCCCTTGAGTGTGAGTCTAGCCCTGCTCGCGAAAAAGATTCNAAAAGGAGCATAAAAAACGAAAAAAAGGAGCATAATGGGCCTAAGCCTAACCAATACGCACGCCTCGCGGCGGGTGCGCCGCAGCAAGAAGGTATCGGTCCCTTGAGTGTGAGTCTAGCCCTGCTCGCGAAAAAGATTCCCCCCCTCGCTATGGGTCATGCCTACGCAAAACCTTGCCGAGGCAGCGAGGGGAAGAAAGAAGTTGATTGGGAATCGTCGGCTGTCGGCCCGAAAGCCGAAGCACTGCTGTGTGGAGACACTAGCGAGCGAGAACACTGAGGGCTCTGGACTGGCCGAAGCCGAGTCCAAGGAGCCGACGCTAAGTTGAGACATACCGATCAGCGAGGCAAAGCTAAGTTGTGTGGAGACGAAAGCGAAGAACGCTGCGTGCAGCAGGCTCGAGTCGCCCAAACACAAACCCCAGAAAGCACGCTGTACGTTTATGCCGACAACGCCAAGTGTAGAATATGCACGCGCGGTGCAATCTGGGAGACCCGTGAAGACGAACTCACTTGTGATTAACTCGTGTGGAACAGCAGTAGCTGTTGCCAAGGGAGGGTAGAGGACTGACTCCGTGGGCTCCAGGCTCCGATACTCGCGCGCTCGCGTACTCAGATACTGGGGTACTGAGGTACTGGCCCGTAGGGGAGATAGTGGCAGCTGAGCATGAGTGACGCGAGCGGTGGTTCGGCCGCATCTGCTCCCGATGCGGGTGGTTCTCCCGGCACGAGTACCCTCGCACCGGGTTCNCAAACCCCAGAAAGCACGCTGTACGTTTATGCCGACAACGCCAAGTGTAGA